CTGCATCGAATCCACTCTGTTCATCAATGATATTGCCCAGATATGTAAGGGTTTTTACATCTTCCAAATCTCCGTCAATTGTGATTAGATTGGTGTATGCTGTGTTGTATTATAAGTCTTGCTGATTAATAAACAATAAAACTAACTCTGTGAGGGTGAATACTATTATCATTTTTAAATAGCAAGCGATATTTAAGCTGGAATAGTTTTGTCTCTTTGACTTTGCCAACAATAGTACCAACCACCTTCGTGTATGTACTGAAACGAGAGAGAAACATTTCGAAAAGTAGATCAATTGATTTCACTATTTGGTCTGATATAATTTAGTCTTTTAGTGGGGATTTAATTACGAATTGTATGAATTAACTACGTAATATGTTGAGATGAAGCTATCTGTCTTTGAAAAGTTTCAATGAGTGAGGAATCATTTTGACTTCCAGTATATTGTTAGTGGTCCATAACCAGTGAAATTCTAATTATCATTTAACTTCTCATACATCGTCATATCAGTCAAGAATCTTAACAATTCTTGATGCAATTCATGTCTTTGATCTATGTTATAGAACATTAACTCAAAATTTTATGTCTGCAAAATGCGTCTTAGGAGTGTTAACTCACTTTTCAAATACCCGACATTCAGGTTAATCCGACATAACTGAAAATTCAAACACAATTTGTTAACCAATACAGAAATTATCAGTTTTTTCCAATAGCAAGAGATCAAACTGACTATAATAGCACAAGTAGACACACGAACATTTAATAAATAATCGAGACGCATCAATTTCATATTCACGAAGTTATTTCCAAAGATAATCACTATGTTTAAAGAATATCTTGGAAAACTAGTCTAGAATAATAATGAAATGTTTTGAATAACACAACGCAGCTCAAATTATTTACATTTGCGATAAAATTATCTATTTGATTTCAAATATATCAACAAACTGATATTAAAAACCAATCTGACAGATCGAGTGCAAAACACAAAAATCGACTGGTAGAGGAAGTGTTCCACTTAAAAATATGTTAGTTTATTTATTTATTTGAACACATAAATATTGGTAAAAATGGGCACCAAATACATATGCGCCACACAAGTCACTTGATTTGTGTGAGGGCTGGAACACTTCACGGATTCCCAGACCGGAGCGGGTGGTTTTCTTAGGGGACCATACCCCGGGCCTTCGACCTAAAGATCTAACCCACAAGGTAGTGGAGCATCGTGAGGAGATGCAGTCCCATGGAAGCCGGTGACCAACGATTGGTTCATACGCCATTTGTTCCCTCAGGATACTGGAGCCCATTTGCACCATTAATTTGGAATCAGGGTTTTCAAACACCCTTAGTTGGACTTTTTGTATCCAACACCCCGTCCACAAGAAGGCAGTTAGTAGGACTTCTGTGGCAGTGGCTGTGTACACGTGGCCATGTGAGGGCATTTCAGGAGGTAGAATGAACTCTCCCCACCCTCGGCCGTACCAGAGCATTTTGGGGCACAGAATATGAGATGACATCACACCAACTGTTTCAACTGTCAATCCTTCAAAATTACACACTAACCGAATTAATCATCAAAAGTTTTCGAATTATTTTCCACATCTTCGTCAAATTTAAATAACATATTCGCTGCAACATACATAATAGACTATCACCTAATTGAAATCTTATTTCTCTAATAGCTTGAATCAATGTTTAGCACAAAATAAATGTTCTTTTTAACTTGTGGTGGTTCCCAAACATAAGGAGCTTACACAAAATATATTGATACTCTAGGTTAACACTGATATACCAAAAAAATTAATAGTAAAGAAACCTAGATGTCTGTCCGTTAGTAAAACCAAAGGTAACAAAATACCGTTAGCAATACAAAAGGTATATTAAACAAACAGACGCTAACAGTTACTATAGAATGAATGTTACTTGCAAACTGCCTCGTGAGGACAACGACCACAAACTGAGTTCACTTGATTGACAGGTGTACCTCTGCAAGTGACTACACCAATGACGTAATGAGGAAGACGGAGTCCAATAGTATTATACAATAGTAATCCGCGCCAAAAGTCCAACGTTGAGTCGGAAAGCCTATAATGATGTTATAATACTATTATAGTCTTCAATCAAAACGGTGGCCAATAAAACAGAAGAACAAACGGCATAGATAGTGTTCTATATTTTAAACAACGCGGTAGTAGAAGTGTATATCATTCATCGAAACAATTATCATCGTCTATTTTAACAAGTGATACAGCAAAACAACAGGTATTGAATAAAATTGTGGTTACAACTAAAATGTGACAAATTAGAGAAACAAAAATGTGGTTTTTATTTTTGTTGTTACAAAAATCACTGAATATATGTCATCATAAACTAAATACAAGTAAGCGGCAATACTTTCTTCCATGTTATTTTATTTAACTAGAAAATTCGATATTATACTGTTATTTGGCACGATTCAATAGTATTTATTAAATAATGGCACAAGTTCCATTGATTATGTCTTATCTTCGTATATTTATGCTTATTAATGACAGAGTGCCGATTTTTTTTCATTTTTATTTTCTAGGTCATACTATAGCTAAACCATCAGTCAACATTCTTTAATAAATCTTTATTATTATTATTATTATTATTCACTAATAACTGCCTCAATATCTTTAGCAGTTATGTTCAGACAATGTTTACTGTTCATCAATGGCCTAATACTATGCATATTATTTTTTTTAAAAAAAAAGATCAAATGTACTTTTTACTTAGAACTTTAGTTATGATACCAACTAAATTCTTTACAAAAGAATTTAATAGAAAAACAAATGTGATTGAGTTTGTCTATTATTTATAAGCTGGTTTTTTACTCTTTATCTTTTGTCAATAGTAAATTATCTCTTAATTTACAATAAGAAACTCATTTTATTGTAGAAAGATATTTAGTAAACGTTGTTGTTGTTGACTTTTGCAAGAAGTTATCTTTTGAAACATAATACCGTTGTAATAGAGATACAACCATAATAACAATTGGATGAGCACTGCTGAGGAGTCCCATACTAGGACGAAACGGACGTCCAGTGCTCCCAGGTTTTCCATGATGGTCTAGCTTCAACTGACTCATGTTTTCAATCTGTGAAAATTTCTAAAATTTCCTCAAACTTCTTCTGATAAAAATAATTTATATTATAAAATTACCTTTGCCAAAAGACCATTAAAAGTCAGACAGCATAGAACCTTTATTTTGTCTGTAGTGCATATTCCATATTAGTCCATATTAGTACGAATCGGCTGTTTATTGCATCGTTTTCAGTAATTTTCTAAATGAAGTTCATCCACGATGAAAACTACAAATTTAAATCTTTTTTCAAAATAATAATAATTTCCTCAATAAACTCCAACGTTCTACAGAGAAGTTGTTATTGGTAAGTCACGACACAAAGAGCAAGTATATGCTTGTTGCCTACTCAAAAGAGGTGCATACTGAAGAAAACAATTTTGGTCTCTGGTGTACAGATTTTATTGGTAACACAAATGTAAACTACACATATGCACACAGAATCCCAAGTTAGCGTTTGGCGCGCGATGCAGTTTGATGGTTTCCACAATGTATATCTTATCCACATCCATCTTCTTCTAAACTACTCTTCAAGTGGAAGATGGTCAGTCAGTCAGCTACAACGAAAGACCAGACATATATATGTATCGGTACAAGTCGACACATTTTACTCATCAGCACAACAAGATGAACACCAAAGGATGTGATACAGGAAGAAACAATTAGTTCGTAGAAATAAAGCGATTTCGATCTCACGATTTAAGGTTAGACAAAGAGTGTATACACCTACGCCATTGTGGTCGATTCTGACCCATATCACACATAGTCACCAACCATTGATTACGATAGTTGCGTAGACCACAACCAAGTAGACTGCATCTACCAACATGGCTTAGACCAGAAGTAAGTGACTTTGTGAACTGATACAACGTTTTGGTTTGGCCGCCCCTAACTTTCTTCCAACTGCCTCTAATACTAGACAGCATTTCGCGTCGTGGTAATCGGTGGTCGGTCATCAGTAATACGTGGCCGAACCATTTCAGTTGATAAAGATTCACAGCTTTATCAACTGATTTACCATCATTCCCAAATTCAACGCCAATGGGTCTTCTAAATGTGGCTTTACTGAGTCCACTGAGGTGCAAGCAAATGAGCGCTCGTATAAGAGCATGATTACAGTCTAAACATGTATTCCAGAACAAGCGGGAGTATTCTATCGAACTTCTCCAACGTTAACTGTTGGAACATGGTCTATTAAAGTCTATCGTTGGCTTGGTGCAGCGGGTCGCCATGTTAGACGATGTCTCTCAAACCTTAAACTAGTGCTTGTTAGAAGTAAACGGTTGTCTGAGCACAGTTGCAGCAGACCATCACCAATATCTGTTCGCTGACTCGGAATACCAAAATACACACCTAAATATCTTTCCGTTTGGCTTAAGCAATCTACTTAGGCACTAAAGTCACCTGCTATGAGTAATATGTCTAAGTGTGTAGCTTTTTGAAAAACTTCAGGAAGCTTCCCATAAAATTCCTCTTTCACCATTTGGTTTGGAAGGTCTCAAAATTGTTATTTGTTGTTAAGCAGGATTTACGTAGTTTACGCAGTAGCAATGATATATATCTTTTTATATATATCTCAGGAAACGAGTGATTGAAGCAATTTTCACTTTTCTATTTATTTAGTCACCTAGACCAATTTGAGTGACACCTGTTCACAAGTTCATCAGCCAAGTAACTGTTTGCATCAAACACTGAACATAAACCATTCCTAGTTGACTACTCCAACAACACACACTAGAGCAATATTACAATTACAGGTGATTACACTAATAATAGCTTAAGATAGCGCGTTCTGTCGCAACTTCTGTTGAATAGAAATATAACATGGACAGAATAACACAGACATTACAATTATCATACATATAACCATAGATTGAATAAAGAAAACCAATTGTTTGCATACAATTTACATATATTTTGTTTACCTAAATCTCATGAAAAATAAGAGGGAGAGAGAGAGAGATACATAATCAAATCATATACACTTTGTGTAGTATATCGGTCGGCAGCCTATGCTCCATTGAGAGTAACAGGCGTAAGTAGGTAACTAATTAAGTAAGTTGTGTCGTCAATTAGCAATGCCCAAAATTTCCCATTACGTAACCACCAGTCAAGTCACAAGAAAATTTTAGGAAAATAATTTCGAAAATATAAAATTCAAATGAAAAAAACAAAACAAGAATAGAATGATCAAAAAGAAATTTCAATCACAAGTAGACAAAATGTACAAAAATATTGCAGTCCAGGAAGAAGAGCAACCGGACATCGGTTATCAACGTTTATCGCTTCATTGTTTTTAAATGAAGTGAATGTAGCATTTCACAAAAAAGGTGATAAAAAAACAGAAAGCTAATCAATAGGCTACATTATCTTTTTGTATACGGTGAATTTATACAATAAGTGAGTGTTCGGGTAGCACAACAAAATGACTGTTTAACAATGTTAACAATACACAATAATTCTATGCTTTATCTTTCATCTTCAACTGGATGGTACAATACGGAAAAGTTTTTGTAATCCAATCGTGATGTTTACTGGAAAAATAAACAAAACATTGAATGAAAACAAACAAACAAACAAACAAAGAAGAAGGCGGAGAATATCAACAAAATATCCAACTGATTCGATAATGTTGAATTCAGCTATTCGTAAGGAAGTTTGTCTAGTTCAATCATCATCATCAAATCATTTCAACATCTTTGAAATGATTTGTTCTCATATGATAGTTTTCATCGGGTCAATTACACATTAACTTGTTAAGATCAATGGAAGTTATATGAAGATTTTGTTGGGACGGCTTCCGAGAACTCCGACGGAGCCTCCAGAGGTCCTACAGGAGTCGAAGAGTTCTATCCAATCAGAACGCAATGGAGCCTTCTAGAACATCAACGTGGCATGCTACTATTGTTCAGTATCATAACATACCTCTTTTACGATTGGGTGAATTACAATGTTGGTTTAACAAACGCTAACATCTGTGAATAGCTGTGATTTTCTGTATATTTTGATTCTTGCCGAACAAGCACTTTCTGCAGTCTTCCTCTGTCTTCTCGTTTGAGACTTGGAGGGTTCTAGCATTCGAGTGCTCAAGTTATACACGGTATATTAAGAATCTGAGCACTAGATATAATAGATTCAATTTCTCCCCATTTGTAATGCATTAGAAAACAATCGATATTTACATTAAAAACTATTCCTGTCTCTTGTTATAAACTATTCTAACTTCAACTAATCCACAAAATTGAGCGACATATCCACCGCTGACTTTAGTGAGTCAGTACCTCACAACATACCCAGTTGAACTCCACTGGTCACTGCTTCTCACTATAACTCCAGGAAATACCTCTCGAAGCCAGTCACCAGTGAGCATATGTTGAATAATATCAGAAGGGGCTTTGTGTGAATATTATAGTAGTTTTAATAGTTGAGATCATGAGTCAATTGAAGATAGACCACTATGGAAAACCTAAAAACACTAGACGGCCGTTTAGTCCTATTGCGGGACTCCTCACTAGTGCACATCTACGATCCCGCTTCGCGAGATTTGAACCCAGAATCTATTGGTCTCACGATCTCAACTACTAAAATTACTACGTTATCCACAAAAAATCCCATCTGACATATTATTGTACTATTGGATTATTGTATTGAAACTTATTGTCCTAACGATCACTGTTCTGATAAATTATATTATTGCCAATCTCTTGACCGATGGATGACCTAATAAGAAGCATCATGTGTCATTCATTGAAAGCATGAATATTATCATTTGACTTGAGAAAATACTCTTTCCTGGTTTAGTAACAATTGAAAAACATTTTCACAGTAAAGAAAATGGAAGTCCAGTAACTACTGGCTAGAGCTTATTAAGGCATGTGTATTAGTAGTTGACACATAGAATATTTGTATACATACCTGAAATAACAACAATTATTAGAAATCAATACTTAAATTTGGAGATCTAATCAGAAGACTGAATTATTCAAACCTAATACCTAACTCAAGCCTCATAATTTCCTTCCGTTTGACTCAAATGTTGATGGCATAGAAGTGATTGTATGCATGTTCAGTAAGTGTTGTCCAAATTGATTAAATTCATAAAATGTATAGTAGTGTCAATTACTCAAATGTTAAAGTATTTATAATTGTATTGAGTTAAAAGAGGTTTGAGCATCTACATAGTTGCATCATATGGTTTAGCTGTGTTATTCAGAATTCTAAATAGCTGAGATGATTTAGTTCTCCTGAAAACAAATATAATCATTAACCACTTTTCCAACATATAGATAGCTGTATAAGATTGCATATGCAAACCCGTTACACTTATTTACGTTTGCGAAACCAGATAGTATCTCTAGTCCTCAGATAAAACAAGTGTGTGACTCGAAACTGACTAAACAAACCAACAACTGATAGGTCAGTTAGATCGAACACGTTCGAAAATATTTCAATTATGTGATATGGAATGTGACTTGACAAAGTTACTTACTCATTTTTTCCTGAAATGATTTCGGTTTAGGACTCCACGCACAACCGAGTATGTAAACCGGTATACCAGTTAAAATGATCAAAATACCATATACTACAAAGAGATAAGATAATCGAAAATTCAGTAGAGAGATGTAATCATTGTTATACTAGGAAATAAACTATTTCTGAAATTAGTTCCATTTAACTAAAATGATGAGAAGATTACTTCATCTTTCAGTAGTACAGATCAAATAGTTTTCCATAACACTTCAATTCCGATCATGATTTAAGTCATAAAGTGACACACAAACAACCGACAAGAAGAACCATAGGAAAACTTAACTAGATTTTTCTTAGCTCTGAACTTTCTCAACAATGAAGGGCTACAACAAGTTATAACATCGAATACATGCGATATTTTGGCCTTGTGAAGAAATGTCGGTTTCTGTACCACTGAATAGTAAAAGTTTATCTCGGTTATTCTACTAAGATTAGTTTTCGTTAGCTATATACCACGATTTTGCGCGAATGTCATCGATACGTTATGATCTCGTCTCTCGTCATTTCAACTCAGTAGCTCACAACTTACTAACTAACTCGAAGGTAGGTAGTCACTTATGAGATTATGGCTGATTAGTTTGTTGTGTGAAATTCAATCTCCACATTCATAGTTGAATAATACAACGAACTGTCATTCCTACATTCAGAAAGTAAACATACGAATTTAAAGGACATAATTTATAACAAATGACCTACATGATTCTTGAGGTGATCCATAAAAAGAGAAAATTAACAGAGATGCAGTAACTACTAAGTAGATAATGGCAAATATTATCGGAGCCTGTAATAAATATAAATAATGAAAAAATAAAAAAAATATTAGTAATGTTTGAAGATATGAATTCAAATGATAGAAGTAGAAAGGATCATTTCAATACTGAAAAACGACTATGGAGCTTTGCTTCGAACTTTTTATCAACGTAAGTTTTAAAATGTTTTAATTTTATGTCAGTTCATAAGACAAATGACGGCCTTTTCATTCTAGTATGGGACTCCTCAATAGTGCGCATCTACGACCCCGCTCCGCAAGATTCGAACCCAACACATATCAGTCTTTAGACCAATCAGCCGGCATCCAACTATTTCAATGTCTGATTTCAAGCAATGCACGAAATTACGCCACCTCCACCGTGATCTAGCTTCAATTGACTCATCAATTCAATTAATAAATTACTACAATCTCCACAAAACCACTCTCTCATTATAATCATATAATCTTAAGGAATAATATCGCAAACCCACTTCAGAAATTTTAATTTACCTTAACCGGACGTCGAATATTAGGACGAGTAAATCTGAAAATTACCACAATCAGAACACAAAGACCGACTGCCAACCATTGAACAAAACCCATATAATTCATAAGTGTGAAAATATCTCCAGCAAGCAAGTAAATTATTGATACGATACACTAAAAGAGTAATTAATAAAAGTTAAAAACATAAGCAATAGATTCTCAGTATATACATTGAACAATAGTAATTCATGTAAATCACAATTTATAATGATCAGTCAACGTTATTTTACCTAAGCGCTATCTCGTAACAAACGTATAGTTTATTGTTGGTCAGAGTTTACTAATTGAATTACGTTTTCCACAAATTTAATCAACTAGATGGCCTGCATGAATATTTGGGCTACCTATTCCCGCCGTTCGTAGTCTTCTTTGAAACTGTAGAATGAAAATCACTGGTCTTGGTGTGTTTCAATTACTACATAGCCATTATTGTCAAAGTAACTCACAATCTAATTACAATTTCAAACTTATTATCAATAAATGTCATCCTACAACCAGTTTAAACATATTCGACATTGTTCCAAATTAGACATCAAATGTTCACATTTAAAACATACTAACTGATTTGTAAGGATGCAAATACTTTTTATTATCTATTTATGTTTGACGAAAGTAGTGTTATGCAAGAAACTCACAGTAAACAGAACAGCCGGAATAGGTGTTAATCGATCCGTGTGCAAGTAACTGATAAACGCTGGCATTTGTTTGAGCTGACTAGCAACAACAAATATTCTCGATGTAGTCAATATAGTCCCATTGGCACCACCAAACGTTGAACAAGCAACAAATATTGGCATTATCCACCAAAACATTCCGTATATTCTATTAGCAAATGTCTGTTTTTGTAAGTAAACGGATAAAAATAAATCAAAATTATTCAATAATGTTTTTCATACCGACGGAACAATTTGGAAACAAATTAACAGGATTCAAAACGAGATAACTTTGGGTGTCTATCGGGGGAACTGGATAAAGATTGATCCTAACTAAATGATCTATTTATTTGATAGATTATTATTATTATTGGATTTTAATTTTCCGAGTAGTCCCACAATTGGCCGAAACGGCTGTCTAGTGTGTTCATGTTTTCCATGGTGGTCTAGCTTCAATTGACTCATGATCTAAACTATTAAAAATAATTGTTAATGAATTAGAGTTTCGTTCTTTCATGAAATATTTGTGGGAAATTTTCGGTTTACGGTGGAACATAAATCATATACGAACCTAAACACGACAGGGATATTTATCACACAAATAACACACTACATAGAACTCATTTAGTATATATTTTGATTTGGGAAATATTTCATTCAGATACCATGTTCGAGTACAACGTAACTTGAGATCTGTTCTTACCATTTAACAAATTAATACTGATTCTGAGAATTTGAAATATGTAACGACTTATATTTATACAATAACTTTTTGGAAATCGGATGCCAAGATGGTGTGATCTTGAACGGTGAAAATACATTAATAAAATTCTCGGTTTGTAGGAAAATTGATTAAAAGCATCAATACACCAGTAAAATTACTATTCCACCTACCACAGCCACAGCTCTTGTGGTCAAAATCTCTGCAACTGGCACGACTGTCACATAGGCTACATTAGCAGCTGTGTAAACTAGAGTCACTAGTAAGCACGATACCACAATTGCTATGGGCAAATGTTTCCTGGGGTTCTTCATTTCTTCAATCATACAGTTTAAGTAATTCCAGCCAGAATAAGCAAATAAGCCACTATAAAATGCATTAGCTATTTTACCAGGACTCCAGTCCGAATCGACAAAAGGTTCTTTCAGCTCTTCATAACGACCTAAAAGAAGTTAAGTAATAAAATACAATGCGAGATACCTAAATGAATTTACTAAATAAATAAATATATCATGGCATAAAGAGTGATTACGATTACAAATACATAGAGATTAAAAAAACTAGTCGGTTGCTTAGAAGACATAAACCGCAGTGAATTACTAACAAAAATTGGAAACACCTGAAAAGAAGAATGTAATTTAGACAACAGATGTAAAGACTAAACAAGTTAACTTTTTTAAAACAAATATTGAATCATTAATTAACCATCACAAATGAAGTGAATTTTTCTACCAGTATTTTATGGCAAATTGTTGAACCAAATTAAATATTCAGTAGACACTCAGCTTCGAGATCAACAGGATGATAATCCGTCGTATACCGACTAACTCGCTAAACTACTCATCATTTTTGAACCATCAATTAAATGGAATTCATCACTATGCATTTCCTTCCCTGAGTATGCAAGAGCATTTGATAACGTGGATAGTCAAACTTTATGGAAACTTCTTCGATACTAATGTGCCAGTATCATATGCAATTCACATGACGAACAACAAGACTGCTCACACTCTTTTTTTCTCTTCCTTCTGGTGGTTGACTGGATTATGAAGACCTTAACATCTGAGGGGAAGCACGGAATACAATGGACGACTTGGATGCTACAAGATGATTCAGACTTCTCAGATGACCTGCCTCTTCTATTCCATACATACCAGCTGATGCAGATGATGGTAACTATTGTTGCAGCAGCCTCAACATCAGTAGGCCGCAAAATACAAAGAGGAACAAGTAAGATCATCAAATACAATACGGAGAACACCAATCAAATCACACTTGATGAAGAAACTCTGTAACAGGTGGAGTTTTCATGTGCCTAACCTGAGCATAATCATCGATGAACGTGGAGGATACGATGCAGACGTAAAAATGAGGATTGGCAAAGTGAGAACAGCATTCCTACAGTTGAAAAACATATGGAACTCAAAACAACTGTCAACCAATATTGGTCAAAGTCTTCAGTACGAACGTTAAGATTGTTCTACAGTATGGAGCTGAAACTTGGAGAACTACCACAACCATCATGAAAAACGTAGAAGTATTTATAACTAGCCAGTCACTTGGAATCCTAAAGGAACACGTGAACGTGGAAGAACAAACAAAAGGTTGCCCAGGGAACAGGAGATAGATAACAAAAGGATGAATAGCAGTTGGAAACACCTGGAATGGGAACATAGGACAGAGCTGGTTGGAAAATACCAGTCAGTGGCCTATGCTGCATGAGGGATAACAGACGTAAGTAGGACGAAGGATCATTTTGCTCATTCATAATTTATTGAAGAATCACTCTATTCAGATCGAAATATTTGAAAAAATAAAAGTAGTCTGAAATCTAATTAGAAAAGTCATATAACCAAGAAGCGATAACAGAAATGAAATGTTCAAAGGTTGTTACATTGAAACAACATTTAAAGTAAGACATATTCAATCAATTAACTAATTATGTGTATTCTTGACAGAAGACAGGGAAGATTATTTTTCTCAAGCTCGATGACAAATATTGCGAATTTTTACACTCACCGAAGTGGGTCTTATCACATACAGTCGTACAGTTTTGTTTTTGGAAAACGTTTATACAACACTTACTATTCTGTAAAGAAAATATCATTCTTATTTTAGACTAACTTAACACACTTGTTGTCATTAAGTTTAGATTAAACAACCACATCATCTGAAATGAGAAACTCCTGAATGATGCACACCAATAAAATCTTCATGTCAAGATTGAACCACTCATAGTTCAACAAAAATCACAAAACAAAACCGACTCTAATTATTTTGATAATAAAAGGTGATTAAAATAATTTTAAAGAATGATATAATTAAATTACCAAATCCAATCTGTACAAATCCGGTGACAATGATCATTATAAGAGCGGCAAGTTTCGCAAGTGTAAATATATCTTGTATTCTGGTTGAGAATTTGATTGAAAAGGAATTGGCGAAGCTTAGAAATGCTAAGCAAAATGAAACAAGATGACAATAAATTAGGAAATGTTCATTGAAATATCATCAGTGTGATCGTTCTAAACATTTTCAGATGAAAAATCATCAGTAATAGTGAAAACAGCAAACTATTGTGAGATAGTAACTCACTAAAGACAATGGTAAATGTGTCGCTCAAATTCGTAGATTGGTTGAGTTTAGATATCAACACCGTTGGTTGCTGGCCGGCTCAGTGGTCTAGTGTTCAAGCGCTCGCGCTCGAGATTGATAGGTCCTGGGCTCAAATCTCGTGAGGCGGGATCATGGATACGCACTGTTGAGGAGTCCAACAATAGGAAAAGACGACCGTCCAGTACTTCCAGGTTTTTCATAGTGGTCTAGCTCGAATGGACTCTTGATCTCAACCATTGAAAAAACTACATAACCTTCTTCTAAGTGAACTTCTACCAGTATCTTATCATCAAATTAATTTATAACATATCGATTCCATTGATACTTCTAGTTTGGCAAGTAATTAGATAATAAACGAACCGTTCATTATGAAAACAATGACTAGAATATATTATTTATTCCAAACAGTTTACTGTAGTTACAGATTAGTAACTACCAGTAGTATTGAGATCTATAAGCCAACTAATCAAAATATTTAGTATCAAAAAATAAACAGAATGTTTACTGATGTAATACATTTGAATTCATCTGGTATAAATTATGATTAAATCGTTGCCATATTGCAAATCTGTCAAAAGTATAATTTACAATTGAAGGCACACAGTCACCAGAAATTAACACTTCTCAGTTTTCCTTTATTCACTCACAACTCATAAGTTAACTGTCATCAGTTTTTCACTTTCTGATTCGTATTTCGTTTATTCACATTTTGACACTTTTTGCACTTAGCACTAGTCATTCAAACAACCTTTATTTAATTTTGCTGGTTTTAGTCCACCATTAATCTCATTCATCATTCTTCTGTCGTACATGCTTTGCGTCAAAATCCCCACAGATCATATACATTTGGCGAGAATGTCGAAAACAACCAGGATTTATGGCACTTTTCTCAAATGTTATTATACTCTACTCAAATTTAAAGAACAGACGAATTTTGATGGAATGATTCACGTCATCCATTTCAAGGAACGAAGAAGCTACTTACAAGTGATTTCTGTTTATCAGCACCGTTATACTCCCACCAAACAGTGTTTATCATTTTTATGTTATAAAACTGCATTTGATGGGGACCTCTGTCCAGTATTTTCATCTAAACAACTGCCTTCATTCTTCGCTTATCAAAAATACAAACAGTGCATTTTATCCATAACAGTGCATACGAGTTAATGTTGGTTGAGTATATAATTGAGCACATCTTAATTAATAAAATGGAAAAAACGCTGTAGGGAAATATTTTTAAACATACTAATACATAAAACTGCCAAAATCCTGATCAACGTAAAGGGCAGTGGACAGTCTGGATACAAAGGTACAACAACATATTCCCCAAATGTCAAAGCTACAATAGCGATTGCCACGGGTCTTACAACCATTACTTCCACCCATAAACGCAAAAATCCAATAAATGGTCCAAATGCTTCATATACATAAATATAATCCCCTCCGGATCGCTCTATTATCGTGCCAAGTTCTGCGTAACAGTACGCTCCGAGCATACTGAAGATCCCACATGCAACCCATATAATTAGACTAGCTCCAATGCTTTTGACATTCAGTAAAATACCAGTAGGACTGACAAATATTCCTGAGCCAATCATTGATCCTACTATGATGGTAATACTGGTTACAATACCGATAGATCGCTTCAGTTTTACATCATCTGGTTTATCTACGACGACGGTGACGTCATCATCCAACTTCTTGTTTTCTGCCATGCCACTACAAGATAAAATATATTACAATTTGCACTTGCAGTAGTATAAAGTGGCCAAATGACTTTAAATAAAATGACGCAAGTTATAGAATATGTCTGACTTCAATCATATGGCTTCCAGAGATTTAGCTTTCACAAAGTAAAATGTGATTAGTTTAAAATCACCAGAATTCATCAAAAAGTGGAAACTATTTTCACCTTGATTTTGAACAACCCAACCACACAAGTGAGATGAAATGGAAGCCGATAGATATATTATGACATCAGGTTAGTAAACGTTAAGTCAAATACTAATCTCCAGCCATAAACTTTGACATTTAACCAGAATACGAATAAGAAGCCACATGTGGTCTGTAATACAGTTAAATTACCTTAAGAGATCTCAGTTTAGACAAATTGGTGGTTTTCCCAAAGACAACCGCTCTTTTAATTCAGTTTGATACACTGACGCTTGTGCAATTTTTCAGTGCAAAAGGTGAGGAAATACTGCTACGTTTAGGCTAAATACATGTTTTCGAAAAACAACATAGTTGTACCCATACAAATTGAATAAATTTTTATTTCGACAGACATTTTGTCGAACAAGTTTGGAATCATGGTTGTCGAAAATATCTCTCGATAAAAAAGGCATATCCTGTTGTTCTAGATTTTTAATAATCAGTTGACCCGAGTCTCAAAAAACTCAGTCCGTCAAATAATTATGAATAAGTGAAAGGAGTACAGATAATTTTGAGCTGAGTTACTAGTTATCAGTTATAATTTAATCTTTAAGTATTGATAACGAAAACTGAACATGCAACTTTTAAGCTCATTCTCAGAATACTTATATTTATTTGTAAGGGTATGAACCTTCTTTTTCTCGGTTTTGGGAACCGAGTTTTGATTGTGCTCTTTTGTAATATGTGCATACTGGATGAATAGCCACACTGTACAATTAAGTCACAAATTCTCAAGTAACACTAGATAGTGGCTGGTAGTGAAATCTAAGATTTAGCCAGGTTAGAATCTCAGTGTAAGTTTCAATACTGAGACACAGAAACCTTCAGCAAATGAGTTTCAAATAGAACTAAACACACTTCCTACATTATACTGCTAGCCACTACCTAAGCTTATCCAAACGTTTTTGAACATATTTTCAGATCTATTCGTTCAACAATACTAATTGTCATGTGAGTAATTTCCTAGCACTACTGAACACAAAGCGGATCATAACTAATTTCGAGGTTGGTTGGTTTCCATCATCTACTCGTTCCTTTTTAAGCAAACACCTTAAGTATCTGGAAATATAACAAACAAAACGTTCTTTAATGCAACGCAGATAAATAAACGTTTACAAGCCGGATGTTCATTGTCATCAATATACACAACAGTTCTGGTACTACTGATCATTCGGATCATGTACCAAGGCGTTTCATATTTTAAATAGATTTATAATAAGAAGCGTTCGAACAAAACATTGCAGTGTATATACTGGCTGCAAATTCTTTTGCGAACAATATCTTTAGTCCTCTAGTTGGTCATACACGACGTAGAAAATACCACACATATGGGCTGGATTATGTTGCCACACTACAATAGCCCAACAGTATAAAATTATCGATTCAAATAGCAAGAATAATGTCAACACTATCTTAAAATTTTATTTATTTAGAATTCAGAGATACAGACCATGTGACTAGTCTTTGTTGAAAAAATAAAGCCATGTTGCAAATAAGGTGTGTCAATTTTCTATACCTAGATGACATTAGAATTTGTATCTTCTGTCTTCTGTAATCCTTCTCAAAACAAACGTTTACTGAGTCGACTAGAAATTTTGGTGAGACTATAATTTATGGACGACCTTTGAGCGACGTTGAAGTGACCTTCAGAGTGAACAACTACTAATTAGGACTACTAGAGGGTTATAAGACAGTTACAATAACCACTTACAGTTGATGGTTAAGATTAAAAATTAGATTTAGAGTTTTCATCACGAACTAACATCAGCTATAATGCCAAAACTCTATTTAACCAAATGTATGGATGAATTCTGCGCCCAAATTCGTGACTCGTTATTTTATATCTGATTGTTCCGTCCATAAATTATAATCTTGCCGAAATCTTAATAGATTCTGAAAAGATGGTGGGAAAGATTTGCAGCTCAGGTGGATGATTTTGATGGAGTTTTGTTCGCTGAGCTGGATGGTTTGGGCGTGGAGCTTACATCGTTCTTCTGAACGACGTCATCAGCACAAACATCTGAAAAGATGATAACAATATCGATGTTTTACCATGTCTTTTCCGTAAATTTAGGACTTATTGTCTGCAAGCATGTACTCGGAAGCTCAGAAAGCTAAATAGAAACGCCAATTTCTGTAGTGTTATTTCATACAGCGAGTCGTAAGTTGCTGGAGTTCTCTACCAGAACACGTAGTATCAGAGCCTCACATTGGTACTACCAAAGAGATCGGATCTTCACAGCACTGCAGATTGAGAGAATAAAAGCAGGTAGCTTGATCCCCAATCTTCGTCTTTGAAGACTACTGAACAAATATTTCAAGTCATCAAACTGATGAAAATTATGAAGAGAGATAAGTCGTAAACGATCCAAAACGTCCACCTAGGCGTACTTTAATAAAAAAATAGAAAATGTTCTCTCCAGAAACAACCATTCCTGTGTCCAATACATGAAGGTTCAAAGACCGATATCAATAAATTCAGTGCACGATTCCATTTTTTCCCAACGAAACGATAAGGGTTGAAATTTTCTGTCCGAAAAAACGGTGTCAACATCCTAAGTGAACACTTAGAATAAAATTCTGGACGTTTCAATACGCTGTGCAACGAACTTCTTCCCACAATTACTGAAATTGCATGTTATATACTAAGATAATGCTGCCTAAATTCCAAGTTGTTATTTTCACTTCATTATTTTTACTATTCGTTTTATTGACTTCAACATTATTTCTCTTGAAGGAGTCTCAACTGCAATTTGTCGTGCTGAACATCTGGTTACTCTTTCATTCCATTATTTTCAAATGGAAACATTGTAGACACCGATGAAGATTGACTAGCCGCTAAATGACCTAACATTTTACAAGCTGACTCAAGTGAAGTGCAAAATCGTTTCAGAAATTGTCGAAAGTCGGTGCATCAAATGCGAAGTTCTGAAACTTCTAGTAATGCTTTACACTGACAAAGAAAAAACACTGCAGAACACTATTTTTCAATCATGGAAATTTAACAGTCTGGTGATCAAGACCGTTTCGAATTCCTGAATGAAAAATGATAAACACATACTAAAAATCCAATGAAATTATAAATCAAGAGGCTTACCAGAAACTGTCAATCAGAACGAAGAGAAACTCTTATCAATGTCAATAAGAACGTCAAGTGCGCACGATATGTTATAAATACTTTGTAAAGACTTCGTCAACAATTTAAACAAGTGGAAGCTTCAAACAACAAATTGAGTCACTTGCAAAAACCAAACCAAATAATTCTAGAAATTTAGTTGTTGAAAAAGATAAATGGTCAAACAATCGATGTAGTAATCCTGGCGATCAATAAATAACAATCAGCGTAAACTTCGTTAGTACCTTCTGAGTTAAATTAAGCTTCGAGAATACTTTTGCAAGATTCGCCTGAGGAAAGCACCTATGTGGCTCCCGGTAGGAAGTTACACAACTTACTGATCGGAATAACGAAAATGGTTTAGTGAAATTTCGTGCGACCACCTTAGTTTTCTAGCGTGGATGAATGTCTTTTGAATGTGAAATATTAGCGAGACGTATGAGCTGACTATTCGGTGAAGTATGGACAACACAATACATCGTGATCACATCTTTCCTAATTCCCTGATTATGAACTTTCTTAGGAGCTGGGCTGGAGTTTTTTTCAGTCACACAAAAAGGTTATTCAATCAAGATAAATAGTTCTCGATGGAATAGAATGAACCTACGTTTGATGGGCTTTCGCACCTATCAGCGATGGATCATCGATGACTCCATGTTGGAACCTACGTATATCAAATGATAAAACAGAGTGTTGTTCGTAGATCATAGTGATACGATGTTCCAAATTTCTAAGAATATATCAGGTTTTCTCTTAAAGGACTCCTGGAAAGTCAATCGCACCTGCTCAGCCGGCAGAGAATTCTACTCTTAAGGAGTAGAAAGTGTGCCTACAATTCGTTATGCTATGTTGTGCCTTTAATTTCTGGGTGTTGCTCCAAGGTTTGTGTTGAGGCCAAACCTAAGTGGTTGTTTTAAAAGGGTGTCTAGGCATGTACAGAATGCTATAAGTCATGGCGATTTCATAACTGAGACGCCTATAAACCAATGGGTATAGATTCAGTGGTTTGAGAAGCTCTTTATAAGGTTTGAATTTGAATCCTCAAACTGATTTCGTGGTTCCACACTGGTTACGTTCCAATGTATTTCTATCCTTTCGGAGAGGAAGAAAACACCATGATTTACCTTACGCATCGTAGGGGAGGTTATAAGGGCAGACTTGACTCAAATGTCTCACAAGATGGCCACTGCAATCATTACGTAAGCAGGCATAATACTGGACAGACCACAATGAACCAACGCACCCCACGGTTATCCTCAAACGTTTTAAATAACATACCTGTAAGACGTAACTACTCTCAGCACTTTCTCATTGTTCAAGATGGTTTAAAAGGTTACTCAACATCAACCCAACCCCAACTGACAGGTGCCTGTCTTAACTGTCCGCCTAGTCAAGTTCAAAAAATTAATCCACTTTATCAAAATAATGATTTTTTGGCCTCCAGAAATCCCTGGTCCCTGGTCCCAGCAATACAGTTTGTTCAAGCCATAGCCCATACGATCAGTCAAACATAATAAACCACAGTCTATGCAAATCCAAACTACATAACATCAATAGGGAAGCTCTCGGTTTTTTTACACTCCACACTCCCTTTTTAAACTTATTACTTATCAATGCACGTTCACTTCTGAACAAAATTTCAGCCTTGAGAACATTAGCTTTTCTAGCCAAGCCTTCTTTCATACTTATCACTGAAACATGTTGCTTTCAAGCAGTATCTAATTCAGAATTAAATATCCAGAACTATCGACTCTGTCGCTGAGACAGAGAAACTAAGCGAAGAGGTGGTTGCATTATATATGCTTTGGATACCCTAACAACTAATAAAGTTGAAGATAGTGTCCTGAATAATTTACCAGAATCAGTCTGGATATCAGTCAACACCCTGAATCATAGTCTACTCCTTGGATGTATATACAGAGCTCCTGATAGTTTGAATAATGGGAATGATCTTATTATCAATGCATTCATACATGCATCTTCTCTAAACTTTAATGCTAAGGTTATCACTGGGGATTTCAATTATCGTGGGATTAACTGGAGTACCGGTAGTTGTCAGTCATGTAATGATGAGTTCTCGGCAACCATTAACATGCACTGCTGGTCACAGTGGGTTCGTACCCCAACTAGAGGCGATAGTATACTCGACCTAATATTTAGGAGAGATGTTATCCCACCATCTGTAAAAGTATACGATACCGTGCATCCAGCATAATAGCACTTTTATATACGACTCTAAAACCATGGCCGACCTTTTCAGTAGTATATTCGCGAATGGTGTAGAAAACATAAGTGGCTATGCTTCAAGAGTTATGTGCGTGACTAGCAACTCAATAAAATCTATCTCCTTCACATGCATGAAAATTGATAAGGCTATAAATACCCTTAAGCTTTCGAAAGGTCATGGAATAGACGGGATTTCATCATTTCTCTACAAATATGGTGGTCCACATATTCCACTTCTTCTTCTAAAGCTGTTTACTCTCTCTATGGAAACCGGTTCTTACCCTTACTGTTGGAAAACCCCGTACATCATACCACGTTACAAATCTGGAGATAAGACTGACATGAACAATTACCGGCCGATAAATATTAATCCAGTTATTTCTAGGATTATGGAAAAAGTTATAAGTGATGAATTTTCCAACTATTTACTTGCTGGAAAATTTATCAATGATACTCAATATGGATTTCTTAAAAATCATTCTTGCATGACACGTCATTTTGACTTCTTTAACTTAGTCTATTCTCTACGTAGCCAAGGATATCTAGTCTTAGTGCTATATTTGGACATTTCTAAAGCCTGTGACATGGTTAGCGACCAACTTCTTATAGGTAAACTCGCATCCTATGGGGTTCAAAATCCTTTGCTTGCTTAGTTTGATTCCTTTCTCAGCAATCGACATCAAATAGTTAAAATTAACTCTTCATTGTCTAACGCTGTCCCTGTTAGAAGTGGTGTAATACGAGGTAGTGTCTTAAGTCCTTTGGAGAAGTGTTATCTAGGTTACGTACAGTAGTAGACTTAGGACTTAGATATTCCCAAGACTTGTCGTTTACAGAACATATATTAAAACAGACCTATAAGTCTCAACGTCTAATAGGTTACATAACTCGAAATCTTTACAACAATGAGTGACGTATCCTAATGTACAAAGTTTGTGCTCGACCTCTTCTAGAATATAGCACGTTTATTCTTAGCAGTGCGCTCATAAAGGATAAATTAAGGCTGGAATCAGTACAGAGACGATTTACACTTCGTATTCTTGGAGCTGATTGTACCTTAACTTATAATTCTAGGTTTAATAAACTTGGGCTAGACTCTTTATGGAGGAGGAGACTCAAACTAAATCTTATCTTTTTCTTCAAACTACTTCATAAACTATCGTTTACATCCAATCACGTGATTCAATATGCAGAAACCTCTCACTATGACATCCGTAATTCCTTGACACTAGTGAAACAAACTCATTCTAAATCATCTCTTTATATGAATTGCTTCACCTGTAAATTTTCTAGACTCTGGAATAACCTACCACAACCTATCTGCACGATAAAATCACTCCCATTATTTGTTCGCTGCATCGATGCACACTGCTCCTCTGAAAATGCATTGAATGGTCTAGCACCTGCAAGTGTATCTCATTCCACAAGTGATATTTTAGGAACTTTAAATGTTTAGCCATCTTTATTGGTGAATCCCCTAAGTAAAACCACCCACTTGCTGTCAATATTGTTAACACCGTCCCTAGCAAGTTTAACTAATTTGAATAACATAAACAGTATATCACTGTGTCACATGACACACGCATTTAGGTAGACATGATTCATATATTTTGGTAATTACTGCTTAGTTGTTATGTGCTCTCTGTTTTTGTTTTAATTTCTCTAGTTGTAGATAATTATCATTGATTCGATCTGGCACACGAATTGACCTTAATTACTCCATTAATAAATCAACAGGCTGACCATTTAGGAAATATTAAAAATTCCCGGCTGATGCATTGGATCACTGCAATACATGTACTACCTAAACAATTACTGAACTTGTATACTTAAAACGTTTTTCTATATGTTTGTTCTGTACATCTAATGTTCCTCTATATATCAAACTGATCATGCCTGTAAACTGGCGTGAATTCTGTAATTATTGTTTTCAGAATATAAATTATTATTATTATTATACTTTAAATGTGGTCGAGTAAAACTGTTTAAGACGAAGTGGATAGTTCTGAAGTCGAACTGACCAAAAATGAGTTTCAGCGTTACCAGTCCAAGGTTTTCCCAAGAGGCATTTTTGTTGCAGTTGACGTGAGACATTTGGTCGTTGTTATCCGAACGACTTTGAAGTCGTGTCATATCCTCCTGTAGTGGCATCATTTAGTCTTGGTTTCAAACCTCTCTACGAAGTTTCACATTATCAGCGAAAAGCGATGAATCAGACAGTGCATGCTAAGAGAGAGGTCATTTATGAGTACTGAGAAAAAGTAGGTTCTAGTACTGAACACTGGGGGAACCCCATAAAACATTCATTGGCCTGGGAAAAAGTGAACTGAACTCTGACTCTGAAAGGCTGATTATTCAGGCGTGAAGTAAGGCAGTGAAACCGTCCAACATCTCGAGATATCCGGTTGCATTCATGTACAACAAGCCTACCCCTAACAGTCAGTATGACAATAGAATGCTGGAGAGATTATCTCACACTCATATTCTGATACTAGGAGACTTCGACCTTCCTAAAGTCAATTTCTCAGAACATGTGCATTGAGGGTGAAAACTCGGTTATTCAACCTTATTTACGATTTGGGATTATTCGAATATGAGAGGTGACTAACTCGGTGGAGAAACAGTCAGACAAACTCTCAATACTGAATCCCTTTGGGAAAATGTGATCGCACCGTCATAAAAAGTAAAGGACCTAGGATGGAACCTTGGGGTACTCCACTAAGTACTGGTCTCCAGATGGAGCACTTGGAATTTATTCTTACTTTTTGCCCACGACCTACTAGGAAATTCTTAATCCACTTCTAAAAGAGGTCCGGCAATACCAAGGTTTCCCAGCTTCAAC